CCAGAACCAGAACCAGAACCAGTCCGGGGAAACATGGCGTCGTCGATCACGTCAAGCAGAGGAAAGCGGATTCCGGTCTGCGGCACGTGCTGCTACCTTATCGGGACCGATAAGAGCATGACTTATTTGTCTGTGGCGTCACTCTTTACCAGCCTCTTGCTGGTTAATAAATGTGCCACTTTTGCTGCTGAAAGCATCATGATATGAAAGTTGATGGTTGTCGCTACCATGAATCTTTATTTTTCTTATTCGTTCGGCAACTCTGATCAGGCGCGGAGTGACTTGTGTAACTGTAAAGCAGTCGAGCCACCAGAAGTTGGCGAGTTCCTGGTCTTTCGCTGAGAGTCATGACTGATGGGCAAGGGGAACAAAGCAATAATGAGCCAGAAGAAGCTCAATGCAACGATTGCCAAAAGACATGATATGCTGTCTCGGCTGTTACCCCCCTGCGTCTGATAGCTTTTGCATGATGTCTTGTAGCAGACAATGCAGGTGGACTTAATTTTTCGTTTATTTGCTTGATGCCTATTCCAGAATAATCGAGGTAACACTAGTGAAGCAGTGGAAGTGAATGCAGCTTACACGACTCTCTAAACCTCATGGCCTTAAGTCACGATAAGAGACCTATGCTGGAAATAATCAAGTTGTGTGTTAAGTACCCAGGCAGATATTATGTTATCAATTCGTTGATAAAAGACCGTTCAGTGATGCGATAAGTGACAGTCCACACCGGAGGCGCATCGGCGACAATGCTAGGAACCTTCCTCTTCCATCTATCTCACCTAGCTTTGTGGAGTTGACTGAACTTAGAGCTCGAGCCGACTGTTTCAACAACCCGCTCCGCAACTACAATCTCCTCCACGATACTCTAATCTTTCACCGAGCTCCAGGCTTAGAATGATCCGCACCGGCAAATGAGAATGACTCTCAAGGTGCTTCATTGCGTCAGTTCGTCTTCTGACCTCTTGCGGCTCGTCTTTCCATCCACGTTGCGCATCGAGTGGCTCACGAACGTCGCATAAAGGGCCAACATGTACGAGGCTCTTTCTGGGGAATGAAGGTGCATCCCGTCTGGGGTAACCTAAGCGTCCAGCGCCAAGGGTCTTGACTGAGCAACTAAGGGATCTAGTGTTGGAACAGTATCCGTACGGAGTATCCTCATTTCAGTACCGCGTATCCATTGTGTTGCTGATCATGAATAGGCTTGAGCACACGGGATAGTCCAATTCTCACGATTAGAGGGTGTATCTCGACAAATTCGTTGAAGAAGCCATCGCCAATTCAGTCAGCGAGTGACCAGTCATAATACACCAAAAGTCTAGGCGTGTCATTCCTACACACACTGACGCCATCTTTACACCATCTCCAACTTACCAAACAATCCATCGAGCCTATTATCCAATCGTGACTTGCGGAGAAGAAAGAGTTCTTTTACCGCCATTGTCTGGACCCTGGTAAGGAAATATTTCCGTCTTTTTAGGAGAGAACTCATCTAAATTCCAATGTTAGGGCTTGCAGACGCAAATACGTACAGTACAGTAGGGATATGTTGCTGTACCCGAGTCATTGTGCCAAGGTCGGGCTGCCAAGATGGACCTCGTCAAGTGAAGAGAGTGACTTCTCACCGGGTCTCCACTGAAAGAGAAATTCTGCACCTGTGCTGTCACCTCACTTTTACAGCGCGGTCCGCCATGCGTTGGACCCAATCCCAGGGCAGGCCAGGCCCAGAGTCCCCTAGAAAGAAAAGAATTGAGCCCCCGGCACCCCGGCTCCGGGCTTGTCCGTAGCCTTCTTTTTTCAGTAAGTTAGTTATCCACACCCACTCATACTCACCCAATGTATTGGAGCCCACTCGTCATCCAGAACCAAACTCTTTGTGCGCGTGTCTGACCAAACAGCCACATACCTTACCATTATCTACAGTCCCATACGAATACTGCACTGCACTGAACTGCACTGCACCGTGCCAACATTCATATCATCAGGCCAGGCCATTTTGGGATCTTTGGCTAGTCTTTTAGTCTGGTCTCCTTCGGTGAACGTTCTGGTACATAGCGCAGTGCCTGACTTTCAGATTGCGCCAGCGCCAGCACCGCGCCCACATGGAGGAATCGATCCAACGCCATGATCTAATTCGCGATTCGTCTCTAGCTTAACTTATCTCCGGCTTGGACCCTCGACAGTAACTTCTTTCTACTTATTCGTCCCCTCCGTTGCCGCTTGCCAACCAAGCATTTTGCAAACCAAACCCTTGTCCTCGCTTTACCGACTTTCAACACCGGATTCTTCTTTTCTTTTCAGCCCTACCAAAGACGGCCTGCCTAGCCAGGATCAATCGCACATTTCAACTGGTACCGCAAAACCCCTCGATCCTACAAACGACCCCGACGAACCGACAGCTTGACGATGCGCCGCAAATCATGCTGAAGACGTCTCCAGCTTTGTCCGCTTCCGCCAATGCCTCACCTACTGCTTTTCGATATGCGACCTTGTCTGCCCAGCACTCCTCTAAGCCTTCGCCAGCTCTCCGGCGACGGCCTTCTACCCGCTCCAACACTTCGTCTTCCGCCGACGCCATGAAGTCCTCTCCGATACAACGTCCGAGACAATACGTCGCAAACGACCCAGGCGTACATGGATCCCCTAACGTAGCCCAACGGCCACCGTCCTCACTTTCTCAGAAGGCTTCCGCGCATCCTTCGCAATCGCCCCATCCTGCTGCCTCCTCACAACCCTCCCAGGACCAATCCGTGCAACCAGGTCAATCTCTAAGCGGGGTTTCACCAACTAAACGTCGAAGTTCACCCGCTCCGATTGATCCTGAAGCCGCCGCTGCAGCAAACTCGTCACCACAGACGACTAAACGTGCAAAACCAGATACGCCGCCACCAAAAGTGCTGCCGGATCGCTATGAGCTATGCGCTGTCGAGGACATGGTAGAACTGGTTGCGCACATGTTGGCAGAGCTGATCGCTACGAATGACGCCATCCGGATATCGAATGGCGGCTTGACACGCTTTCACTCTAGGTAAAAACAACTCCTTGATTAACAAGTCCTCACACAACTAACAATTATATAGAACCCCACCAGGGATCTCGGTCCGTGATTATCTGCATCGTTTGGCTCGGCATGCGACATTAACACCACCGCTTCTCTTGGCTATGGTTTACTACATTGATCGGCTATGTGCCATGTATCAAGAGTTTACCATTAATACGTTGACCGTACATCGGTTCCTCATCACAGCAGCCACAGTTGCGGCTAAAGGGTTATCAGACTCTTTCTGGAATAATACCACTTATGCTAGAGTTGGGGGAGTTCGCGTTGCAGAGCTCAAATTACTAGAGTTGGAATTCCTTTATCGCGTGGACTGGAAAATAGTTCCAAATCCCGAAGTTCTTGTTGCATATTACAAGGGCCTTGTGGAACGGACACCCGGGTACGTCTTGGAGTCAGATGATTCAGACGAAGAAGATGAAGAAGATGAGGACGAGGATGAGGAAATCGAAGATGGAGAGAACGCTGCTTTGGACAGCTAGAGTTGTGTGAAGGACTGGCTCTCATACGACACAAAGACAGGGACGTTTCGTCTCTATCCCCGCGTATCGACCAGGGAAACAACAAGTCACCTATACTTCAGTGGTGAGGATCACATTACAAATGGGGGCATGAGCATGATGAGAAGATCAAAGGAGGTTATGCATAGCACGACATTTACAGGCGTTCTGGATCAGGGCGATTTACTGGATTGCATTACAACGGTTCTAGGGAAGGAAAGGCAATGGATGGATGGTTTCTGTAAATATTTTAAGCAGCGAAAGCCATGCTCTATTTAAATATTATAAAAGTTTATTGACTGTACGGGGCCATAAAAATCATTTTGATGCAATTGAAAGAATTTACTTGAGATGGATATCTATAGGTTGTGTCCCATTATTGCAACGACATTGATGAGATTGAGTTGCCGTTTGCTGACATTCTGATTAGCCGACAATCAACCGCGGAGAGTGAAGCTACCCAGGTGTCGTTTCCAAGCTCCATCAGCTATGGATACTGGCCACTACCCATCACCTCCATCCTCCCGAACATCAAGGCGGATTCTAAATCACCGCGCACGATGAGAATCGCCACCTTCCTATCGACTTTCTGCGCCGCGGCGTTTGTCGTAGCCGAGCAGCGCACCGCCCAAATCTACGTTCAGCCTATCCAATCCTCACCATCACTTCCTCAACCCCTAGCCGAGATCGCCTACGACGCTGCCTCGCTCATCTCTACCGAAGTTGTCTCCTACGAGGCCCCCGAGCTACCCGAGACAGCTTCGCTTGTCCGCGTCGGCATCTACGACCCCAAGTCTGAGAAATGGATTGCTGGAACCACCGCTGCTTCCACAGAAAACTTCGACCGTGGTTACGCCCCTACAATATTGCTCTCTGTGGATCAGAGCGGTGATGTGCGCAGCGTGGCGCTTAAGGGTGTTAGAGTCGATGCTGGGCAGACCAGGGACTTTGGACCCAAGGCGATTGTGATCGCGGATAAGAAGGGTAGCCAACCTGAGCTTAACAAGCCTGTTGTGCTGTCGCCTAACGGCAGAAAGGCTGTCGAGGAGGAACCCAAGTCATTCTTGCAAAAGTAAGTCATCTCCAAGAGGGCAAAGTCATCATGAGGTTAGGTGCTAACATTGAATCAGGTACTGGTGGCTTATTGCCATTGTGGTGGTTATGTCTCTGGCTGGAGGCGAGAAATAGAGATACATATATAATAAAGGACTCATTGCCATCACTATATGTTCTTATCGTATACTTGTCCCAGAAATATTAGATCGACTGTTGAGTCTCACTGACGGTGCGGTATGAGTTCATACTGCCAGTCTGTTGTGCACGTAGAACATTGGGCCCCAGGCGGAGACTTGCAACGACGTGGAAATCAGAGCAATGAACAATACCTCCACGCCACATTCTATGAGCTTTGCGAGCCAGACATTCGTCACTGTTATAGTGATAGCGTCAGGAAGCATAGTCTGAGTTGCTTGGTAATTAAACAGTGAGCTTCAGGCAAAATGGCATCTTTTCAGCTTCCAATCACAATATAAGGAAAATTCTATGAAGCATTCCCTCAAGCTAGATCATCGAAGCTTGCTTTAGAGCTTAATTCACACCTTCTGCTCAAGTCCCTTTCGTAGGTGATAAATATGTGGGTATTCAGTCAACTTCCACTCTCATCTCGATATGCACTACTTGAACTCGGGGAACCCTGGATAATAATAACAAATTGATGATCAATCGAATTTTTCAATGAACATTTATCAATCCTTCTCCAAATATAATAATGCCATCCAAGAACCAATTCATTACATATTCAATAAACAAACGATATTCCCAATTCCCATTGTTTGCTTGAGGTAGGGGTGAGAGCTGAGCTGCCCATACTATTCCATGTTTGGACTAGCATCATCTGGTTGCTAGGCTGGTGCCTTTGGTTGGATAGCAGCAGCACGGTACCTGGCTGGCTGCTTTAAAACTGCTTGTCGCAACGGACGGAACTCGCGCCCAGACCCAATCCACCCAGAGCTCCTACGCCGCATTTCAACCCTCCAACCCATCTTCTTCAACTTCGATTCACACCGCTACCAAAAAATCACAACACGTCCAATTCATCTACACTTTCAATAACTCTCTCTACCGCAAAAATGTCTGACAACAGCGCCACCATCCCCCAGGACCCTACCCACGTTCAGGACGAGACCCTGGCCGAGAACAAGGGAAAGGGCAAGGCTCCCGCTGAGCAGGTCACCGAGGACACTGCCATGGATGAGGACGATGATGATGACGACA